TATAGTGTTACACGTGAAATAGTAAACATTGAATGGGGGACATGTGGCCTCATTTCCTCTATCGAAACATCACATCTTAGATATCAATTTTGACTTCACTAGCCAATGGCGCATTAAATGTCCTGAAAAGGAGGCAGTCAGCCAGTCACCCTATAATCTATGCTAACAAAACTGACATTTTTTCTCATTATAAAAGTCCAATCAATTATTCTAAAAGGATTTTTTAAATTCAAGATCTTCAAACGTGGATTGTCACCAGCCTTAAATGAGTTTCAAATTCTATTTCGTTGGGCCTCGCCACTTCGGCAAAGGGGCTTCGGCAAGTCCCTTTCATGAAATCGTTTTAGTGGGATGCCACATGGCTTTGGCGGAAATGACTTCGATGGGTCGACTGAGCCATGTGGGAGCTTAGGTGGCGAAACATAACAACAGTCTCCCAAGTCCATGTATGGTTATTCATGTCATGCGTGGACTTCTGTCTTGAGTAGAATTTCTTTGGGACAGGTCTTCCCGTCATGGTTAGGTTTTCGACAACACAATAGCCCTCCCAAGTCCAAGTATAGATATTCAAGTCATAGTTGGAGTTCGAAGTTAAACTTGATTTTTGTATGTTATCCTATCCTTATGTAGAACTGGTAAAGCTTTTTATTTTGAAAATAGCTTAAATTCGTTTGATGAACCGAATCAGGGAAACGTTGAACTGCTGAAGCTCCTTAATTTGAAAATAGCCGAAATTCGTTTGATGAGCTGAAGCATGAAAGTATTGAACTAATGAAGCTCCTTATTTTGAAAATAGCTGAAATTCGTTTGATGAACCGAAGCATGAAAGTACTGAACTGATGATGCTTCTTATTTTAATTGAAATAAAACACGCCTTTGATAATAGTGCCAATAATTTGATTTTTTGTACGTTACCAAGAAAATACAAATGAAGCATTTCAACTTCCAATACACGTACAACCGTTACCTATTGAATACGCAATGATAGCCACGATGCTGTATTTTAGGTCGACACACCAAAGCTCATATGTGAGATACACGCCTCAATCTGAAGCGTTAATAAAAAAAAAAAACTATTTAAATTCAACGCCTCAGATGCAGTGAACGTTGGACGCTTCAGATGAAGTGTATCTAGATCCAATGGTTGAGCTTCGTCTTTTCTTCCTATAAAAGCCAAAATCGTGCCATTTGTATCATCTTTTACTTTTGCAAAGTCTCCAAATTTCTTCAGCAATCGAAAAACTTTTCCGATCATTTTTGTTCTCCAACGACGTAGCATTCCTAGAGCTTCTTTTTATTTAAGTATTTTTTCTAAAATTCTCTATGTTTTCCCATCCTTCCCATCTTTTCTTTTTCGATTTCAATGGCTTCAAGGTCAAGTGCTAGCAATGGGAGGGTAACCATCGCTAGGGTTGGGGAGTCGGCTATATCTGGGGGGTTGGACGGGGGTTTTTTGGGCATGAGTGAGGGTCCCATTGATTATGAGGCGAGGTGGGGGCTGCGAGGTTAAATGAGGTTTTTTGGATTCGCCACCTAGGCTCTCACGTGGCTCAAGTGACCCACCGAAGTCCTTTCCACTGAAGCCATGTAGCTTCCCACGTAGAATGCGTAAGACCTATCAGAGCACACTAAAACGATTTCATGGAAGGGACTTGTTGAAGCCCCTTTGCCCAAGTGGCGAGACTCAACGAAATATAATTTAAAACTCAATTAAGACTCGTGACAATTCACGTTTGAAGATCTTGAATTTATGAAATCTTTTTAGAATGATTGATTGGACTTTTGTAATAAGTAAAACATATCAGTTTTGTCAGCATAGGTTATAGGGTGGTTGCCTCGTTTTCAAGAAATTTAATGCGCCACGAGCTAGCGGAGTCAAAATTGATACCTATGATGTGATGCTTCGGTAGAGGAGATGAGACCACGTATCCCCCATCTAATAGTTACTATTTTACATGTAACACTATAAGAGTGTGTTTGGTGCATATTAAAATAAGAGAATGTATTTTTTTGAAGTGTTATGATGTGGAATTTGTGATTGAAAATGAAGAAAAAGTTATTGATGTGATGTAAAATATTATTTTATTGAAGAATGTATGGTTGAAAATGAGTAGAATAATGAGAATGAAAAAAATAATGTGGCTCAAACATGGGCTAAATACCCCCCTTTTGTATCATTTTGGGGGTAATGCAACAAGAGTTATGTTACAAGTAAATAATCATTTACCTAATGTGTGCCATGGGGGTACCTGTAAGAGGGGACCACCATTTGTCAATTATGGCACACATTAGGTAAGATATTATGTACAATAAGAATAATCCATGCAACAAATACTAAGATATTAGCTACAAGCTATTCCTTCTCCCGTTTGATCTTTGAGTTTTGATGTGTGATCTTGATTTTTAGTCTAATCTTTAATCGATTGTTCATTATCGTGCAACTTCGCTCATATATATATGTATATTGTCGGTGTCCTAACATATTTGTCTAGTTTTATAAAGCTTTTCCCATGTTCAAATCCGAAATATAATTGACCGGTAATATGTCTACACGTGTTGAAATTAGCTTACCAAGACGCGAGTGAGTTCAACATCTGTTGTCAATGTATACAGTGCAAAAAAGGGAGTCAACAACAATTGTACTTATGGTCCGTTTGGCATGAATTTTTAAAAATTAAAAGGTGCTTTTGAGATGGAAAAGTTGATTTTAAACCCGTTTGACTTGTTTTATTAAAGTACTTTCCATAGTTAAAAAAGGTTTTAAAGAAAGTTGATCTAATATAACTTTTTCTAAAAGTACTTTTGAAATAAGAATATTTTTTTAAAAATAGTTTCCAAACAAAAATTAAGGTAACTTTATTGAAAAATTCTTGTACAAGAAGTAAAATAAAAAAAAACCATGACACACGTGTCCTTAGTGTTGGGCTACTACACCCTTTCTGACCACTGTTTGAAATTTGGGTAATGCTATTCATCCTCACTGGGATTACAAACACAATCTAGGTGGCGTTAATGTGATATTAAATTATAGGTGAAATTAAATAAGTCACTTAATTTTTCATTTAACATATCATTTAGAGCCACTTAAACTGTTTTTGTAATCCCGCTTAGGATGAATAACATTACTCTTGAAATTTGGGTGGAAAGTGGCGACAGAGTTATTGCAACTCGTGCTATAGAGTCCTTGGTGATGAATAAAAGTTGGCACTTTTGTGCCTTTTTTGAAGCTTTGCAGTTGTATATGTTTTCTCTGTATTGACTATTGAGTGCCTTTTTTGAAGCTTTGCAGTTGTATATGTTTTCTCTGTATTGACTATTGAGTACTTAAAGCTTATCAAATAACTGCTCCATTCCTTCATTGGTACCAAGCCTTTTGATATCTCATTTGTACTTGAGTTGATCGGGTCAAATCGACTCATATTTTTTAAAGTTGAAAGAGATGGATTCAAGAGCCCTTACCATAACTTTGCTAAAAATATCATCACAAAATGGACAGAAAGTTCTGGGCGACACACAGACAGGCAAGCTTTTTACCATCGGAGAGTATGGTGAAGTAATAAGAAAATTTAGAGGAATAATGCAGAATCTGAATTAAGTTGACGGACCACTATAGTTTATTTCAAGCAGACCTAAAAATCTCGCATGACCTTCCATGGTGTTTTTACCTAAAAAATAAATGAAATGTTGTCTTGTGAAGCTAATTCACGCAAGGTAATCCACGTTTTGACCATGTTGCAATGCAATTGTCGTCAACTTCTGAGGCGTGGGATCAATTCGAAACCTGAAAAATAGAGATTTGTAAGCTTGACCACTAAAACATAGAGATGTAGTGGTCGATTTAAATCCCAACTGTCAAGTAAATGTGTACAGGAATTATTTGGAATAATGAAGGTTGACATAGAAAATTCCAATCACTGAAGTGATTTATTGCTTTGTATTTATAGTGGGAAAGGGGTAGTAACTGCCTTCAAAACGAAGTGACTTATCCTGTGAATTTATAGATTCCATAAAGTTTTGATGGGTGCCACAACAATAATTAATGATGAGTCTTCTTGAAATTCTGGTGTATAATGTATTGTCTGCAGCTATTCCAATTCTTTTATAAGCCCAATTCAGCAATATACTTTATTCTGGATTCACAAAATATAGCTACAGAACTGTCAAGACATGCATATGCCCTAATTGTAATCTGACTGTTTACACCCTCTTCCATATTGCTGGGACTTGAAAACCCAGGTGAAATCAATACATGAACGTACCAAAGAAACATGAATATGCTCAAATATAGTTCCTTTTTTTTTTTTTGTCAGATTTATTATTATATTTTATATGGAGAGGGACACCAACGGATGCAGCAAAGTACTATCTCAAAGATAATTCCAGAATATGACTGGAGAACAAAAACAAATATAACTCGTGGAATTTTTCTTCAACTCTTAAAACTGTAGATAAGATCTCAAAATTGAGGTTGAATTACAATTTACTAAAGCTAATACTTCCTTTGCTATAGAAGCGAAAAAAGAAATGAAAGATATTAGCTGCTACCAGGAGTATCTGTAGATTAGTCAAGACGACTGTTAGCAAGCTATCTTTTATAATGATTGGGATAGTTGAAGCAAACCACCTAGGATAGTATCTTACAGCAACAAGAGCACCATTTGAATGTCGAATGTCCAGTCATACTAGGATAGCTTCCAAATATAGCGCCTCAGACCCCAATAACCACGTCTACTAGTAGGTTGCCAAAGTTATGACCTTCAATTTATCCAATAACAGAAAATGAGGCAGCATGATAATTCCAGAAATGGCTGCAGTCGAGTTAATAGTTCAAGTCTGTATCAACTCGGGAAAAATGGAAAGATTCGTACTAGTTATTCATAAACATGCTACACTTCAGTGAAAAAAAAAGGTCCAGATATTCTGAGTATGAGTGAAATTGATGGCATCTCTCTCTAAGATTTGAATAGTCTACAAAATGAGGAACACTGCAAGAATAACAAGGGACAGAGAGAATTTCCAGGCAAAATTATACCAAACATTTGACCATGAAGAATCTCTTGTTTGAAAGTGGTTAAGCCAAAGTAACAATGAGCATATGACATGAGCTCCTTATAAATAGTAGAGTACAAAGAAAAACTAAGATAAACCTCTAACTCTATGTTTATTGGTAAGCGGAACACATTTTTCCTGTACTTATATGAAGATTAACACTACCAAAATAATTTTACCCATTTCAGCCAAGGCTGTAGAACAAGGTCCTACTAACTGGATGCTTCCTTTTTGTGATTCTCAGTGGATGGTTCCCATTTGTGATTCTCAGTGAATGATTCCTTTTTGGGATTCTCAGTGGATGATTCCTTTTTGTGATACTCAGTGGATGGTTTTTTGTTGTGGAAACTTCTTGTGATCATCAGGAGATCTCCAACCCGGCGAAACATTGTTCTCCTTCTTCTATGGGAATTTCTATCACTATCTGAATCATCGCGTGTGGTGTCTAAATGATTAAAATCTTCTAAATTAGATGTTCCTCCATCATCTGTGAAGGGAGAAGAATATAGACATACATAGTCTCTGATCCGAAGAAACTGATTGTGGTGTATGAGGCTCTTTACTTGGTGTTTCAGCATTAGCATCAAATATTGAGCCTTTTCGGACCTCTGCCTTCTTGGGATTTTCATCTAAATCTTCAGGGTCATTCATGAACTTCAGATCTTCAAGATTGAAGCTGAAAGTTTTGTTCATATTCTCGTCATCATGCTTCTGGTCCACTGAATCTGGTGGCTTCAGCATTACATGCTGCCCCTTATCCTCAATCTTCAATTCTGTTGATGCAGTAGAAAGCAACTTCTTGTACTCCTTCTTATTCTCACGAGCAGCAGCCTCATTAATTCTAAGGCGTTCATTCTCTTGAGTAAGAAAAAGTAAGGCCTCGTCTTTCTCGGAGAGGCAATCCTTGATTTGGGAATTTTCATCTATGGCAATGCCTGCAGCCACTTTTGAAGCATTAGCTTCATTAATAGCCTGCTTAAGAATGTCCCTCAATTTGAACGTTTCTTCCCTTGCTACCCTACTTGTATGCTCAGCCGCCTTGAGGGACTCCCTGAGTTTAGTGCATTCATGTTGCATAATAGCCTTTTCCTCTTCAACTATTTTTATACAACTAACAAACCCCTTTTCCTTCCCATTCCAAGCCAAAATGGACTCTTCAGCTTCTAATTTGAGTCTGTCTGCAGTATTTCTGTGTAATTCTGCTTCTTGTTTAGCTTCATTCAAAAGTTTTTGATACCTTTCCTCGGTGCTCTGAATCATTGTTTTAAGTCCTCCTGCTTCACTTCTTACTCGCACAATTTCCATTTGTGAATTAATGAGTTTTTCCTTTGTTTGATTGGCTTCTGCAGCAACTTCTTTCAGCACCAATGCTAAATCTTCCATGGCCTTTGCGCTCTTTTGTTCTGCCTCAATGGCCAATTTGAATTCATTCTTGAGCAATTCCATCTCATCAAGTGGACTCCTGGCCTTCAATGAAGCTTGCGTTTCACCTTGTTCAGCACGAGCCAGATTCTCCTTCATCTTTTGGAGCTCAGACTTGTGGTCTTTAATTTCTTCTTCACCAGAATCACGATTATTTCTGTTGGCACTAACATTAATATTTTCCTTGGCCAAATTTTCTAACGATTCAATCTTCTTACGGAGACAAGTAATTTCATGCTTTGATTCTTCAAGTTCATTCTTCGTATACTCAAGTTCTTTACTCTGGATTGTCAGCGAATTCGTTCTGTTTTCTGAATGCTCTTCTTTCTCTAATTCAGCTTCTAACTCCTCAAACTGTTTTGCCTTTCCGAATCCCAATTCTAAAAACGTAATTTTATCATCTTGTGAATTAGATAGCAGTTCCTTCAACCTCTTGAGCTCCATCACTAGTTCCCTAAACTTTTCGGGAGACAACTTTGTCTCGTGATCGCCTTCTGCCCTTCTAAGTTCATTACAGGCATGCTCTCTTTCTACCCTTCTAATTTCATCAAGGGCTTGATCTCTTTCTATCTCGACAACGCTCAATTTTTCCCTAATCCGTTGCAGCTCTGCCTCGAGCTGCCCCATCTGTTGCTGCATTATCAAAAATTTATCCGTCCAATTCTACATTAAAATGAAAACCCCAAAAACTCCCATCATCACTAATCAATGAAAAGTGGATTAAACAACAGATATCATTAGAAATGGTTCAATACCTTGGAAGGTTTCTTATCGACAAATTTAAGGGCGTTCGAATCAATTTGAGAGACTAAAGCATCATTCCCTCTACAAAGCTTTGATGCAGAAAGGGTTCTAGAAAAGACCGATGAATAGTGGTTCTTCTGTCCAAAATCAATCGAGCCGGATCTACATACCCCCATTAAATAACAAAATGTGAATGTGAAACAGAAGAACATTATAACAATTTATGGAGAACACATTAAAAAAGTAAAATCTCATCAAAGAAAACAAAACCCATATAGCAAACAAACAAAGTCAGATAAAATCTCTGCAACAGCACAGAATATGCCTTGAAAAAATATTGATGGTCCAAAAAATACAGAGAAAAATGAGGTACTAGAAACAGTGTCTTTATTACCTTGATTTGGAGCGTGACATGTTGGTACTGTGCATTTCAATGGTGATTCCTCCGCTATCCTATCAATGTCCGCTACTATATTTCGAAAAATCAAGAAAACAAAGTCCGAAGTTGGCGGGTATGTTTTACTGTTTTAGGCAATCTGCCGTAGCAAAAGCAAAAGGAGTGAGATGGTGGAAGAAAAGAACAGAGAAAGTGACGCGATTAAAGTTGGAATATTTTTGTGCGGTTTGAGGGTTGACATTTTGGGGCAGGCAAATCTAAAATAATAGGAAATTGTTTAGATTAGTAATGCTCCTCCATGTTTGCACTTGAAAGCATGTTGAGTCGTTTTGTAATTAATTTAGATTATAAATTGATAAAAAAGATGATAGATAAGTAATTGAGTAATACTTATGAATTTCATGATATATAAAGAAAAAGTGATTGATAGACTATAAAGAAATTATAAACAGGTACTATCAATTTCAAACATATTACAACTATGTACGAACTACGTGAATATTAATTAAAAAGTTACATGTACAGTACCCAACGTAATCATAAAGGTGCAATTGGGTCTTTATCGAAAAGTTTAACCATTTGTTTGGTCCGAATTAAAATTTGATTTTAATCTAAATCAAAGTCAAACAATTAATATTAACTACATTTTTATGGGTCCCACAATTTTTCAACCACATATTTCAAAAACTTCTATCACAATCTACTAAAAATCTAATTTTAATCTCCGCCAAACAACCTCTAAATCTATAGCCAGTGTAGCAAGTTCAATAGATGCGTGGAAACTAGAAGTCATCCGAAGTCGTCTGTGCAGCTGCATTGTAAACTTGAGGCTTGGTGATGAGATAGAGGCTGTTTCTCGATTGTGGTTGAAGGAGCTTCATCATTGGTAATTAGATTGTGGACATGGATGCTGTGATAGTGAATGTGGTTGGGAATTAGATGGAGAGGACGACTGGAATAGGGGTATCAGAGTGAAAGAAAACAATCTTTTCTTTTCTTCACTCGTCCGCCAAAGCATTGGCATGGGGGCAAAAGCCTTGGGGGTGCTGATGAAGGAAGATGAGGAGTGAGCTCAATTAGTATTAGGATTCAACTTAATTCCTTCTAAGGGAAAGATTATGGGTTCGAATCATGAAGGCGTAATAGAAATTTGTGAGGGTAAAATGAGGTTTACGTAAGTTAACGACTTGAGTAGATCACAAGAGAGATACTATAGCTACGGTCTAAAATAGAAAACTTATACATTCATGAGTCTAAAATGCAAAACTTGTATACATCTGTCGGGTTCACTTTCAAAAATAGCTTCTCAAATTTTGCATGTCATATTCAATTTGAGATGTATTACTGCAAGACACGGGTAAAGCAGGTAATAAAATTTCCGTTGATCCCAAAAAATGTTGCCAACAAATGTCGGGCCCACTCATGCACACGCGAGCCTGGTCTAACACGCTAATGCCGATCAACGGTCAAGATGGCTCCAGGGAAAGAGCGTGGGAGTGGCTCAAAGGCAAAAGACATTTCCGTTCAGGCTACCGGCAAAGATGAAGTAGTATGAGAAACCAATCGATAAAAGACGATTTGTGGTAGGAAATATGCTGTAAAATCACTGTTTGAAGAGAGATGTTG